ATAGAGCGACTGGACGGGACATCATTGCAATATATCTGAGGCATGATACCCCAGTGCTAGACATATCTATAAACTGCCACGCTTTAGGCATTGTAGTGATATGATTGAAGAATTGTTAAAGCTACGTTAAAAATGCAAATCACACCGTCAAAGACACACACACACACACACACACACACACACACACACACACATTGTAAGCATTATCTAGCGACGATATGACAAGAAGCATCAATGCAGCATTCTCCCGAGGAGCGAGTGATTTCCGGAAACCAGCATGAACTTGTCATCGGGAGAACAACGCCAAGAGCAATGCTTTTTGCCACTAAAACTACGATTCAGATCGCGATGCAGTAGCTCTGCTGTAAAGTATAACACCGCAAAAGGTTTCAGTATTACAACGGCCCAGTTATAACGGCCCAGTTATGCGGTATCAAAGTGACGTAATAACTCTATGCCATCACGAATCCCCCCTCTTCAAAGTCAATTAGACGCGGCAAATTTCTGGGTGGCATTCAAATCATGAGTAACTATGACAAACTCTGTTAAGTTAATCGAGTCATCAATATAATTAACAATATATATATTTTTAAATCTGGCTGTAATTAGTAGGACCGATCACAAACTTTGATGCAACTGGACGAGTATTTCAAGCATTCAGTGAAACCGTATTATACGCTTATAAACTCGATATTCTCAAACCATTACATAACCTGAGATGGTTTGTGTTATCGAAAACGAAATATAATTGGAACTATACACCAACATGGTGCTTTGTCCGAAAATTAATATGGCAGCAGCCGGGTCTAGTCATATTAGAATTTACTTTTAGCACAAGGTTGATTTGCCCATTTTTCACGCAGTGAGACGATTACATTGCAATACAGTCTCAAACCTATGATAAATTACGCATAAAATGTTATAATAAACTGCCCTACTTTAGCTCATAACTACATTTTACTAAATACAAATCGTCATTGACCCTAAATATTAAAATGATAGTCAAGTTGTTCTGTGTTATATTTTTGAATACCACACCCACCCACCTTATTACGCTTAGTAGTATTACCAATGGCACTTGTACTTAATTCCAGTTTGAACGTCACACGCAGTGACATCAGCTTTTAAAAATAGATTTTCGGACAAGACGAACCAGCGATACTTTCCATATTATTCTTCTTACTGAAAACGATGTACTAGGCGCTAATTTTGTTCATCTGAACATAGATTCCAATATTCATTTACAGCGATAGTTAGAATGTTGAGGACTGTCCCCAAAACAAGAAAGAAGCATACTACTTTCAAGTTGAGTCATTTTGAAATCACCATATCTAACACATTTTAGCTTCATTTGCCTACATCTTGCTGCTTTCTAGAATTAAGTGAAACATGTTATATCTTTTCAAGTCTAGCCTGGTATCTGGAACAAATTATTAGAGGTGGATCAATTTGGAAGCTCTTCAGTAGTCCGGTGGTGATAGCAAGGTCTCATAAGGACATGTGCAGTGTGCTGCTATAAGTGACCAAGATGAGTTCATATCAGTACACTGATATACAGCATCTCAAAGACATGGCTTAGATCTTCATGAGCGAGATTTGCATCATTGTTCAGTAAGGTGGAACCTCCCTGAAACTCTATTTTTGTATTGCATTGTTGACTTTTGTAGTTATCGACATTAAAATAGAATGCATATTTGCTATAAAACATGGTAGTGGTCCTATCAAAACTTTAAATTTGTGTGGACTATTAGTTATACAGCCCCTCAAAGATGCAGGTCAACTCTTGACAAGAACTTCACTGTAAAGTCATCTTTGAAGGAATTTTAAATTAAAATATGATTTGTATTGATTGTCACACAGTGGAAAGTTTAGTACTGAGAAAAAAAATGTAGAGACAATAAAGTAAAATGAATTGTGTTCTATGGCCTATTGTTAACATTGCTGATGACAAGAAGCCTATACAGTCTTAGTCAAGATGACACTGACAAAATCGCAGGAAGAACGGTACACGCGGTATTCTTTCAGATCATGCAATAAAGAAAAAACTTGAATTACTACACACAATGAAATTAATACTTTCGATGCCGATGTCATGAGTTACAATATGTTGCTGATGATCAAAGTAGAAGAAAGAACGCTCTGACGGACTAGATGATACCATTTTGCTAGAATTGGACAAAATAGCAAGAACTTTTGTTCTTGCAAAGTTATGCATACTTATTAATTATCAGATTTTCTAGTATGGCTTAAGTACGTTTAACAAAATATAATAAAGCTTTCATTATGTATCGATAAAATTATATCATGATGTACAATTTACATATAAGAATAAAACAAGTATTTTTCTATCTACAAGTAATACTTTCATTATGTTAAGTTAAACAGATATTTAAAATAAATAAACAAAAACTGTTGCCTGAATGATTGAAGGAAATGATGGACGTTATTTACGACACGGTAACGTAAATATTCAGCTGGAAGGAAGAAACATTTTATCAGTATGTCATTATTAAACCAGTAAATTTAAATTATATCAGATCCATTTAAAACGATCATTTATCATAATGTCTTTAAAATAAATAATGACGAATTGAAACAAGCAACAACATGCGCGTTGACGGGATATATTTGCATCCGCTTTGACATTTGTTCGCTAATTAGCATAGTTCCTTCTAATTTAATATATTGATATTATAACATTTTGCAGGTTTTTTAAAATCATTAATTTGTAAGAACCTAGATTTTAAAGTCATTAGAACACACACACAAAGGTAATAAAACTATAAAAATACGCTACACTTGTACACAAAGTTTCTCAATTACATGAAATATTATGGCTCCCGTAAGATATAAAAATTGAACATAAGCATACAATTAGCAAAACAAATTATTCAACATTTTAACAAGCAAAACAAATATTATTATCTAAACAGTTTTGTGTATAGATATATGAAATACAATATAAATAATTTATCACTAATAAAGCAGAGAATTGTTCCATGTTGGTGTTTTGTTTGAGAATTTTGTTTCCAAAATCCCTTTTAAATCCTTTTCATAATAATGAGTCAGCATCTCATGTGACCCAATTACAACGATAAACCATTTATTTTATACATTTTCAGTGATGTTCTGTGAAGCCTTTCACATTCCTCTGCAACGTAATCAGGCGTGATCTGTTTATGAGCAAATATGGTGGAAAGCAATGCATATCTACACCGTGCAATCGATACCTAATTTTGATTAGTTAATGTGCCCAATTTGATTGATAGGTCGGGACTATCCATTGATTTCCATCTACCATCATCATATTATTCATGTATATCCTACGTATCGTCTTGTATCTTTATGCTAACGTGTAATTTATTTAAAGTCAGTCCACGGCAGCAAGATCCAGGGAGAACAATGCCATATTTAGACATTCACAAATTATTTCAAACATGCCCATGATAGCGATCTAGAGTATGTTGGTTTCTTTATGGTTGGATTAATATGTTATTTCAAGGCTAATATTTCTGATGAAAAAGCAGTAAAGTCATCTTACAGCAACAGTGGATGAAAGATACTAGTTACATGTCTGTTAAATATGACCACAATAACCAACTGTACTAGCCAGTAAATAAATAGACAATACTATTGTATCTAAATATTGGTTAAGTTTTTACTTGACATACAATAAACTCATTTTTGCTTCAAGGAAAATTGCAGTTTTAACATTTTTGATTGATGAATGCATGTACTTATATGTGGTTTACTGGCACATTAGCACAATAGTAACCATTGTGCCGAGTTAATCAAATTGTAACAAGTTCAAGACCTCAGATCGAAAAGAACAACACATAATAGATACAGAGTTATTGATTTAACCACTGCGTGGGAATATCATTTGCAGCTGAAAGAGATATTTTCAGTAGGATATCTATGTTCATCTTAACTGTTCTTTTAGGAAAATTTCAAACACAGCATCCTCCAAGTTAGAGATCTTTTTTACTTTCCTAAAACATCCACAAATTCTTTACCAACTATAAATGCTTTCTGATAAGGTCATAAGCAGACAATCCTCTAGACATTTTATATGGAAGATGGGCATTGTATGTATAAAAATACTGCAAACATCCTTCCTGCGAATTCATTAATATGATCCCATATATATATATATATATATATATATATATATATATATATATATATATATATATATATATATATATATATATCGGGCTGATCCAATAAATTACGATGTTGGCTCAGCGACAGTCGGTTCATGAAAGTTTTCTAGTATGCTGGCTAGACGAAGTTTTGTATACTTACGTGACAAGAAAAAAAACAACAACAGATTTTGTGAAGATCATGAGCTGCGAAGTGTAAAGCTGCCAAACTATAGGTCATTTATGGAGAATGTATGGTGCTATCGTACAAGTTCGGATGTTTCCGTAAATCTTCATAAATAAGTCTTGTAATCTTTCGTAACTCCGTAGCCCAGGGGTCAATCAAGCATGCCCTTATATGGGAGCAAATTCACATTCCTTGCTGACGAAGATTACAATCCGAGTAAAACCACCCTAAAGTTTGTCAACAGTTTCGTTCACAACTTCAATGCATTCTCTTTCCTTTTCCTACAGCAAGAAAACTACGTACTACATTTTAAAGATTTGCTTTAAAAGCCACAGTGGTATACAAGGAATAGTTTAAGACATTAGGTTTAATATATTTTATAAACAATTTAATTGTATGTCGAACAATTTGAAACAGTGTGTGTATGTATGTGTGAGTGTGTGGTGGATTTTTAATGTAGTTTTAACAATATTTCAGTCATATAGTTGTTAGCAGTGGGACAATTAATAGTAATATCTAGCACGGGAGCATCATGCCGCAGGCACGTAGCATGATGTCCCACCCAGTCACATTATCCTGACACCACGCCAACCAGTCCTAACATTAACCTGTTAATGCTGAACGCCTAGCGAAGCAGTTGCTAAAATATTTTTTATAAATCTTTAGTATGACTCTTCAGGGTTTCGAATCTACGACCTTCCGCTTTCGAGGCGGACGCTCTTACCACTGGGCTACCGGAGCGGTGAAACATTCTTGAATTCTTTTTGTTATATACTATTAAAAAGTTAATTGGAAATTGTACTAAAATGTGCATGTATTTATAATGGTAGTATATATATATATATATATATATATATATATATATATATATATATATATATATATATATATATATATATATATATATATATATATATATATATATATATATATATATATATATATATATATGATATTGTATATTGTATTTAATGTCAAACATTTAATACTTCGCAAATATATACATATATATATATATATATATATATATATATATATATATATATATATATATATATATATATATATATTGTATTTAATGTCAAACATTTAATACTTCGCAAATACGACAAACAGGTTTTGGTGTCAGTCTTAAATATTGAAATTTGTTAGCTTTTTTACTCATCGTTTCCTTTTTCGATATTTCCTTATTTACATTTTATTCTAAAACTTAAGAAATTTTACAATAATTGGTAAGCTTAATGAAATATAATCATTTTATCCATTTTGTACATCTAAAATGTATAAATGTTAAAGCCACATTTATGTTACTCATAAAGTTCCACTCAGAAATTCAGCAGTAAATAAATAAATATTTACGAAAGGAAGACTGACAGACAGAATTAAAAAGAAAACAATTACACTTGCCTCCATAGTAAATGTGATGCTGCCATATTCCGCATCTATTACAAGACAGAACAAGGCCTGACATACCTGTCATTTTTTAAAAAGGATAAAACACAAATAACACAATTAACACAGCATTATACCAAAATATATCGGATCGAAATGTCACAATATAAACTTCATTTACTATTAATCCAAAATTTGCACTCAAGCATACCAAACGCCTTTATTAAAGCTTAGGATAGAGATTGTTTGGGCTTTTTTTTATACAGATTAAGAGTGTGTGTGTGGTAAGTTTTTTATATTTTGTTTCTTTTCATTTAAATTATTGTGCATTCATTAACTTAATTAAAGTGATTTTAATTATAATTGACTGTTGACATCTTTTTTTGGCCACTTAGCGGTTTGTTTTGATTATTTAATTGCCGACATCAATGAATCACCGTGTAAGTAGTGAGAATGACCATTAACAATGTGCTAATTATTGTTTTAAAAAAATCTTTCGGTTCTTTCATACAAGTTTATAGTGTGTGGGAAATTAAAATTTCTTTTCATTCCAGTTAAAATGAATTCATTAACTTAATTAAAGTGACTTTAATAATAATTAGCTGTTGGCATTTAGCGGTGTGCTGGTATCTTCATTAATTATAGACTTTAATGAATAATCGTGTGATTAGTGGGAATGACCATTAGGAATGTGCTAATTATTGTTGTAAAATACCCTAATTGGTATCGAATTGTCCCATGGCTGAGGTTGAAATGTCTTGGGGTCTAATTGTCTTGGGAATTTTCTTGGGGTCGAAATGTCTTGCTCTCGACACGTGCAACCCTCAACACAATTAACAATTAGCATAACGAAAGGACAAATTCGGTTTAATGGTGTTGGTTCTACATTATAAAAGTTATTTAGTCTGTGATTATGATTCTTTCCATGTATTGCTGTTGCAAAGCACATAACCATTGGAAGAAGCGTACAAAGATTAAAAAAGAAATGACCACATTACTATTATGTAAAGCATGGTCCGAATATATATTGTGTCGAGTACGTTATGGACCGATTTAGGTAGGCCGAGTTCTTTATGGGAGGAGAACGTTCATGGGCCGTCTCTGTCATAGACTGAGTAGTTCCAGAATACTTTAAGAAAGTAGTTGATAAACATGCATACAAACACATGACAATAAAACTCGAATGCCAGTGTGTTTTGGAATGAAAATTGATAAACACAAAGATTACGTTAATTTTTAACATGCAGAAAATGACAAAGTGGTAATAAATATTGACGTCAGTTAACACGGATTCAACTACAGGTTGAAACTATATTTCTTTTCACACCATCAGTAGAACGAACATTCCCCTATTTATACTGGAGCTCTGTGTGTACGTACGTTAAACTGTCGAGGTCTAGAAGTCGCACACATTTCTGGTACACAGTTTAAGAGGCTTTTATAAAGTGCCATTGGATATTTGGTAGTTTTGTAAACAGACATTTTTGTACGGATCTAATATTGTCACACGAAGGTCGTGATATTTTCCAAACTGAAGAGCTTGTTTCAACACGTCAAAGCTTGACACTTGACTCAATCAATGGTTCAGTGGCAGTCCCTTGACAATACATTTGGTATGGATTTTACACCGTCGATTGCGGTATAGGTATCCGTAATGTTTGGAACCGCCGCTTGCAAAACTGATGAAGTTTATTCTGGGTACTCGTCCGTCCATGCACCTAAACATTTATTTTCTGGCTTATGGCTATGAAGACAATGGATGTACATAGAGCACACATATGACATGAGAGGAACTTCAGTTTTCCCTGGCAATAGTGTAGTAATGCAGGATGGTGCACGAGCGTCGCAGGTAAGACTTTGCATTTGATAAATCTTTTGTGCTGGCATTTGTCTTCCAATCAATGTGTTCTGTAAATCGAGCATATTAGCACATCCAATGATAGAACCAACACGGATCGATGTAATTTTTACCTCCCTGAAATTGATCTACTTGGTACAGTTAGCGTGTCGCATTGGTTCTTGCCCCAAACAAACTGTGGTGTTGGTTCAGAGGTTCGATGTCCAACACATCGTAACTTTCGGCTATGTGAACTAATTCTGTAATATCACGACGTCTATGTAACCTATACAATATTACTTGTGTCAGCCTATCTGATGTGTGTCAAATGAGATTGCGTACAATATGCAAGTGTGGATGCGTGGGTGCTTGTGTCTTTTCCTTTTTCGTCTATTATTTATTGTCCCTAGATACCCAAAAATGTTTTGATTGTAAAGTGACATTGGGATGGTTTTCCCTGACACAGCGGTCTTTCAGTTACGCTTGTATTCATGATCGGGTTTGTAACATCGATCGCAATAGTGCTCCAACATTTCTACCCCATAGTATCCTTGTTTTTCTGACCTCAGGCGTCGTTGGCATGTTTGTTTATTTGTGCAGTTTGTCCATTGTGAACTCTGACAAAGGATATGTCAAGTTTCTTTGATGGAAACACGTGGGACATCATTGAAACGAGTATACATGGAATTCGTAGACAACCTCGGAGCGTTCTAAATTCCAGCCATCACAGAAAGACTTCTAATTTTCTTTTCGCAACCGTTTCGAGCATGTTGGATCGACGTATCTTCACTTTCACATCAGAATTACAACCAATTACCATTGGCGAGAGGAAAGCTGAGGGTCTAATGATTAATTTATTCTCGGACATGAATTTCTTTCTGTACATTATTCCACATGCTTTACAGATGGTGAAGGTTTCCCACAAAGGATCAGTACCGCCGTAATCCAGACATAATTGTCAAAAGTCTTCTCAGCAACAACGTAAAATGTCTGCATGGAATCGGAAATACTTAAACATTTATTTTCCTGAAAGTCGAACGAATTTGAATAGTGATTTTGGTACTAAGCGTAGAATGCCTTTCGTTGTTTCGTGTGCATGCTGTCGGGTAGTAATATTGAAACTCAGGCAAATGTGAGAGTGCAATATGTTGATCAGTTTCGGTATTGACAATAGACAATAACAATTGGATATTTTAACCGTCCAGACGTTTAGGCAGTCCTTTCAAAGTCATGGTCAAATAATTAATGGAAGTTTAAAACTATACTTTCCTACTTTTATGAAGATGAGTTTGGTTCCGTGCATGGCCACTGTGGAACACTCGGTACCTTATTCTGAAAAATATTTCAGAAAAAAAAATTGTCCGTCGTATGGCGTGGAACTGTGTCATCTCAGTAGCATATCGTAAAATGTTACCGTAACCCTTAGTAACTTATTCGCCCAAATTGTTGTCGGTTGGGTCTACGATCCATTTGGCAAATTCGAGAAGAGTGCATGGTCCTATAGAGTTTTTGCATCCTCCTGGAATGTTCCTACAATTATGACAATGAAAAATATAGGTTCTTGCATGCACTATTTGCAAGCTCGATGAGCTACTCAGAAATTAGAGACTGAATGCCAGTATCTTGCGAATATTTAAAGTCAAAAAGATTAAACCCAGTTGTTTCTTTTTGGTCATAAATTGGTTTTCCTTTAGGTCATCCTCCGATACATTCTTGTATTTTTTAATGTGGCATTGATGATCACAGTCCATGATTTAGTCACTAAAATGGCATCCTGGACAAATGTATGCTCTTTAGTAGTTGCTTTGAATAAATAATATATCCACAGGTGGAACAAAATCTCAATAATTCGCTTGCACTTTTCTGCTGTTCAGCTTGCTTCATGAATTGTTGTTTGTAATACGTAGTACTGACGAATATACACTAGTGAGAATAGCCATGAATTCGATCCTTTGGGAATGCATGTGTTGCGTTAGTTTAGGCTCATACGTATCCTTTATGAAACCCCAAGCATGTACTACGTCGCAACGATAAATAGCATACAAATACTGTCCCGCCTATATCCTGAATGCGACGTCACGCGCCCTCTCGATTCTGACTGAAAGAAAATCTCCCCTTCCCTCTGACTGAATCTTGTAACCCTTATTTGGATTGTTGAAACTTTTCATACCGTGCCGATCCAGTCTTATGCTATGTTTGCAAGCGGCTAGTCCCAAAGTTTTACACGTCTTGAAATATCATCAAAGCGTATATCACTTTAGCTAGCGTAGGGGCATCAACATTCGTTTCGGGTAACTATTTAACCCGGGCCATCAAATTCATGTCAAATCACCATGTGCCAATACCAAAATCGCAGACACGGTAATATGGAAGAGTCTGTGTGGAGAGCCAAGTCATTTTGTTTTCATATTATTATTTTCAAGCATCTGAAACAAGTTGTAATAAACTAGTTCAAAACATAATTAATTTAAAGGCTTTTATTCTTGTAGAAACAGTCATGTAAAGCTTTGCA